CATTTTAAATTTGAATTTCGACTTCAATTTGAATTTGAATTAAAATTTTCATTTTAAATTTGAATTTCCATTTCCATTTCCATTTTACATTTGAATTTTCAATTCCAATAATATTTCCAAAAAATTCTAAATATAAAATTCGAATTTTTCCTTTTCCCCGATTAATCTAAAATGACCAGAAAATATCAAAGACATAAATCCCGTCCAATTTCCCACCGAAAACTGATATTCCGCAATATTTTCAAAGTGAGTGATTCAAAAACTTAACGACGAGTACCGAACAATAAATTTCCCTCGGGGTCCAATGAAAAATGCAATTTACCGTTGAATATTCACTGGAGTCGATATCTTTGATAATTCCATCAATCACATTTCCTGGTGTACATGAATCTCGATCCTCTTCTTTCAGCTCAATAGCCCCACCACACCTGGTTCATCTGGATGAATCCCCAGGGATTAAACCACCGATCACATATTCGGGTGGTTCCTTATCGCCCAAGGACGATGGGGTCGTTATCATTGTGCCTAATCTATCCGAAACTAGAAAAGAGACGATACGACCCTCCGCTGTCAACGGACGCTTCGATAAATCCACGGGTTCGTGTTAAAATCACATTATTTATTTAAAACAAACCAGAAAGACTTTATTTACAGTCCATTCACCGATCCATTAATAATAATAATAATAATAATTAATTACACGAAATTTGAATTAACACCGAAAATCGACTGGACTTCATTGAACTTGATTTTCACGTGAATATCTCCGGAAATAATTGAGATAATTAATTTTTCATTGAGACCTTTTTTGTAGAGCTAATCGAAAACCGCAGGAAAGGTCGTTATGTAAATATCGATATCTCTTTTAATTCCGGAGATATCTCGAAAAAACGCACTCGAAATTTCTGTTGACTTGTCGGTCAGTCATCAGATCACCGTCGGTTTTTTGGAAATATCCCGGTAATTTCAGGAGTTAAGAGAATTTTCGATAAAATCTTTTTTACAGAGACAATCAATATCTACAAAAAAGATAATAACAAAAATTTTTATATTTCTTTTATTTCCCGAGATATCCCCAAAAAACGAATTCGTTCCAAAATCAATTTGCGGTATCTCAATCTTTGGTAAATATATGTAAAATGTACATATGTATTTTCGCGATTTCCCGTTGAATAAAATTCCCTTGTAAAATTTCCAGGGAATTCCGTTGAAAATTTTCGCTTTCCTGGAAGAGTAAATTCCGAGTGAATTCCGAGTGAATTCTTTTATAAATAAATTTTAATTAAAGTCTCACGAAATTTGTGGTAAATTATTCAATGAATTCCTGATGAACTGGGGGAAAATATTCCAGTAACGGTGGAGTGCGACCCGGGACGTTCAGGGGATGAATACAACACCGAGAACGAGGGTGAGGACACGTCCTGCGAAAGGGCAGCACTCCTCGGTGAATCTCCAGCATCTCCAAGCACGATAGACCCTGGAGGCAGCCTGGAGCCCTAAAAAAAATCTAGATAATAATTTACCGCGCTTATAGTTTCATTCATTAATTTATTCACCTAGAGAAAAAATACTCCAGAATTTAGACTCATTATTTCGCAATGTATCCAATTGACATAGATTAACAAAAATCAAATTAAAATCAATTAATGAGAAATAGAAAAAATCCGTGACACGACGGAGACAATATTCGTATTATAAGTGAAATATTATCGACGGCCTCTCACAACTCAATTTTTTCACACGCTTTATCTCTTTCGTTTCGTTTCTCTTTCGTTAAATTTTTTCTATTTTCCAGTGAATTGATAAAATAAAATTCAAGTGAAAGCTTCAGCGAATGAAACGCCAATTGTTCGTGAGAAATAAATTTCAGGGGATCACTTTTGAGATCACACCATCATTTTATTTTTCTCTCCGCATTTGTATCAAATCGAAATAACATTTACTCACGAAAATATACAGTTAAGAATTGGAGGAAAAATAGGGAAGCAAAAAAAATAAATAAACAACCGACCATTTAATCAAGAGAGAATACAATTTTAAATAAATTTTTATAGGATTATTAATATACATTATTATACAAAATTAAAATGGCATTTTGACGAGAGAAATTCGCACAGAGATGCAAATTTAGGGGAGTCAGTGCATCGATACAAATGAGCAATTTTAATAAACAAATTTATCGTACAAGCTTCGATAGACCAAAGTATAAATAATTACTGTAAGTAGTTTAAGGCTTGAGAGATAATTTTTTTTCTCTACTGAAAGTGTCTTCGCTGTCACTTTACGATAAAGAATAAAATGCTGATTATTTTTTAATTGTTTATACAATTATTCGACACCTCCCGATGTTTTCCAAAGCACAAGAATATTTCATAAACAATTGGTTTACAATGGAAACAAATCGAGAGAGAATTAATATATTTATGTCAAATTCCTTTTGGATTAATCAATTTCTTTTTTCACTCGAGGGGGAGAGACTCTGGGGCTGAAGTTATCGGCTGAAACTTCTGGTACAAAGTTTATCTACTAAATATCTTCACAGATATTTCTCATAAAAAGAAAGTTATCGGTTTTCATTACGAAATAGAATTTATCTCTTCACATTTTTCAGGAAAAAAAAATGAGAAAATTCTGGAATGGGATTTCAATGAAATACTGATGTTAATTAATATTAATGCTACCATTAATTAACAATTGAAAATACAGATTAATTTATAATTCACTAGAATAATTCAGTATTCGAATTCAAATTTTAAAGCTGAAATATTATTCAAAGACATCATTAATTAATTAATCTTTATAATATTTTATAATTCCAATTCCCTCCAGAATTCTAAAAAAAAAATGAAAAAATCTGGAATTCCCAGTGAATTCCCCCGAGAATTCCACATGAAAATTATTCGATATAAAAATTCCCATAATTGTAACTCTCGAGATGTTTTTTATTTCTGGGTTTCACCTCCACGTGATTGACGACGTGGGGCTCATCCTCAGCGAGAACAGCACCACAATAAGACCTAATGGTGAAAAAATAAATTTGCTCGACAGTAACGAGAAGTGAATATCCCATGAAGAGGCCAAGAATTCCTCCAATGGCAACGATGAGTTCCAGAATTCCAAATATTACTTTTCTCTCGTAGGTGACGAGGGGCCAGTGACTCATGGAGACGGAGGTGGTGTCATCAGAAGGTGCATGAATCCTGTCAATATTGTACCACGTGGAGTTGCATTCCAGGGGGCAGTTGTCATGGCATCTGTCAAAGCTGGATATATTTTTCAGGAGTTTATTGTACTCGGTGAGACGACACCTCATGGATTTTTCACCTGTCATCCACCAGGGGATGCACCCCAGGTCATCCGTGAATATTGATCTTTGACAGTTTAATTGACACTCCGAATGGCCTACACCTTCCTCTGGCAATATGCATCCACGGAGTTTTGGATTTACCAGACTAGCTTCCGATGCTGTTGTCGTTATCTGCATCGATATTGTGAATGACATGTTCTGGATTAATCTGTAGTTGATTGATGATCCACGAGGTAAAAACCAGTTAGACCTGAAGTACATGCTGTGGAATAAATAAATCATTTAATTAGTCTTGAGCTGACACTGAATTTTTCTCTTCTTCATTTTTTACTGCTCTATCCATTTTTTCTTCTTTCATTTGCAATAACTCTTTTTTTTATTTACTTCATTCGCTTTTTTAAAATCGGCGTGAATTTTATGCTGCGGTTTTTTTGCTCTGCCGTCACTTCTACTGGACTTGTGGCACAACATTTTCCTTGGAATGTCTGCATTGTGGTGAACATCTCTGAACAGTTCATGGATTTTCCCCTGTGAACAGTTGAAATTTTTAAAATAACAATGAAAAAGGGAAAAATCGATTTGATAAATTATTTAAATCGAGAATAATTCCGAGTTTTCTCAACTCTCGACTGAACAGATGGTTCTGATTTCTCTGAAGATAATTACATAATTACTTACATATGTTCACAATTTGTGAACAGCTCTCGACAGTTCGGCAGAGAAATTTCGAATAAATTCTGGAGATCCGGAGTAATTCTCAGTGATTTAGAAATTTTTATCTCCTTCCAATTCCAATCATAAACCGATCTCAAGGTCTTCGCCTCCTCCTGCACTCCAATAAAAATTCATAATAAAAAATCCAATCAATCTGTCCTAGACTGAACAATTTAAAAACAATAAATACTTCAGTGTAATTACGGAGATCCAAGTATTCCGACGAGGGACAGGCGATAACCGCGGGAAATAAAATCGTGTAATCGACTTTCGGTATATGAACAACCGTAAACATCGGCTCCGTTAAATATTTAATTAGAATAATAACTGCGAAGGAAAGAGTTGCTCCAAAAGCAGCTAAAGTGCACATGCCCCAAAAATGTCTGAAAAAAAAAACCAGAAAACTTCAATTTTCGAAATAAAAAAAAATTTCCGCCAGAAAAATTCATAAACAAATTTCAAATTCCAAAAAATTCCACTAAAAATACCAATAAAAATAATAATTCCCTAAGAACACTGATTATTATTATTATATATCATGAATTATTATTATTTTATTTATTATTATTAAAAAATGAGTGCGATGTATTTTTCTTCTGGAAAAAAATTAAATAAATAATTCGAAAGATGGTAAAAATGTCCCAACCCGATCGTTTGTAAATGTCTGAAAAAAAAAAACCAGAAAACTTCAATTTTCGAAATAAAAAAAAAATTCCGCCAAAAAAATTCATAAACAAATTTCAAATTCCAAAAAATTCCACTAAAAATACCAATAAAAATAATAACTCCCAAAGAACACAAATTATTATTATTATATATCATGAATTATTATTATTTTATTTATTATTATTTAAAAATGAGTGCGATGTATTTTTCTTCTGGAAAAAAATTAAATAAATAATACGATGGATGGTAAAAATGGTAGGATAAATAAAAAAATACCTGTCCCATCCCCATATCATGAATTATTATTATTTTATTTATTATTATTAAAAAATGAGTGCGATGGATTTTTCTTCTGGAAAAAAATTAAATAAATAATACGAAAGATGGTAAAAATGGTGGGATAAATAAAAAAATACCTGTCCCATCCCGGTCGTTTGTAATCAATGAAGTAAGTGAATCCATGGAGTGTATTTTCTCGGAGGAATTCCAAACTGCGCAAGCGATAACTCGCGCGTAACTTTGCAAAAGGTGGAAGATACCGCATGACTTATTCCCGCAATTTAACGGCTGTCACCAACCGATTTACTCAATTCCCGTACAACACAATGTGAAATTACCGTGGCGTGACAATCCGTCATCAATTCCACATCACGCGAGACTAAAATCGCGTGAATATCCAGCAACAATTAAAAATTCATTCAAATCCCTTTAAATATTTTAAACAATATCGATCACGATCGCTGAGTGGATAAATTACCGCCCGTCATATCGATCCCTAGATAAATAATTAATTATTCATGGAATTGTTTGTTTTTTTATTCAATTTTCTTACTTTTCATTAAATAATTATGCAATTAATTGGATTTCTGTTTTAATTGGAAATCGAATGAAAAAATCGTATTGATCGAATCGAGATATTATTTTGTTTATTATTTATAGCGATGTATGAATTTCTGAATTTATAAACAATAATTAATTGGATTGAATTGATTGAATGAAATAAATTTTTGTGGGGTGAATTTGATGAGGAATTATTTCAGGGTTTTTTTTGTTTTTATAAATATCGATTATGTATTATTTTAATGTTGAAATAAACGGATTGTTCCTCGTCAATTTCAGATGGCACTTGAATGTAAAGGGGAATAACCCTCGAGACTAACTCAAGAAGATAAACATACTCTCGGCCTCTTTTGTACACCTCGGGGAGTTTTGCTTTATTATTTCAACCTCGGAAAGATTTCCTCTTCCATTATAATACCAGTGGCCACTGACATATGGCCGCATACATGCCACCCTGATTTTTCATGATTTTAGAATTTGTCGTACACCCACACAAAAGAATTACTGATATAAAATAAATAAAACGGATAAAACGCAGAATTTTTTTTAATCGATCCCAGTTTTTCGGTGATATCTTGGAATTGAAGGGTGATACGGATATTTTTGTTGATACATTTTTTGTAGATAATTGTGATAGCTACGAAAAAGGTATTTACGGTAATGTCACTATTTTCCTTTGATACCGAGATATTTGGGAAAAACTGAGCTCGAGAAAGTGCGCGCTTCTCCTAGGGTACCATTCCGCTACTGAATTATTGCAACTAAACAAATATTTTGATGAACATTAAGAAAAATAAGATGTTGTGTTGAACATTTGGAGACTGTCCTGAGCTCAACAATTTTTATCACTGAATAAATTATTTATATTGACAGCAATAATTCCGCTGTCAACTGGTAAACTAGAATAATTCCATTTTTTTCGAGTCAATATTTTAGCGAATATTTCGATAGATGAGATAAAAGGATTGAAGAAAGGAATTGAACTGAATGATTTATCCTTTAGTTCCTTGATCTCATCGTTGACTCCTCCGTCAACAAATCCCAAATAAACAAATAATTGTATAAAAAAAGAAAATCCTCCCTCCCCCAACGAAAAATCAACCCTCCGTCATAAAAAATGTACAACCGATAAAAAAAATATTGGAACGTGCCAGAAGTGATGGGATAATAGTTCTCAAGTGGCAGCCATCACAGAATGCAAAGAACTTTTCTTGTTATGTTTATACGTCTCTTACAGTCTCACACCTGGCGACTAAAATAGTTGCCGACGGTTTTTGTTAAACACCAGTTCTTTTAATTTTCATTTCATCTCAAAATTTCAAAATATCCTCCCAATCATCAATACCATCATTACCCTAAAATAAAATAATATTCCCAACGATCTTGATCCGATGATAACGACTATCAGCGAAATTCCTCAAAATATCGTGTGCCCAGAAAAAAATTTCCCATTCCCTAAATTTATTTATAAAAAATTCTTGGTATTTATAAAAAATTTAATTGGACTGACATAAACAGGTAGATCTCCACTACCTGTCACATCAACTCACCTCAAGTTCTTATCACTGCCATAGACTTGCCAGAATAAATCTCCGCGGAATTCGCGACGCGACATTTTCTCCGCGATATTATTTCTCGTTTCATTCAAGTTCAATTGAAATTAATATTTACAGTAAATCATCATTACTGGGGATTTAAAATTCCTCCCCCCCCAAAAATATCAGCTACCATTCACCAACAGCTTATAGTAATCAATCATTAATCGACTGTATCGATTGCAATGGCGGAATGACGCCGCAAAATCAGTGCACATGCAGATCTGGTGTTGATTAAAAAAAAAAATAATTAACAATTCGCAAATTATTAATCCCCAAGGAGTGAGAAATAAAAGAGGATTAAAGTGACTTGGGATTGTCACGAATCACTGATTGCATTAAATCCGCCCATTCAGACTCGCTAAACCGCCGCCCACACGTCGAAAAAAAAAATATTTTACGATTCCAAGACTTATCCCAAAATCTGGGCCTGCCCCAGCCAAACCATCCTAATAAAAAATTGAGATTTATTCTCTAAAAAGCCTTCGGTCATTCCCCCAGCCCATCCATGTACCAGAATAATTAATAAATAATAATTTCCACTTTGAAAATTCATAATCGATTATTTAACAGTCGAATCGGTGTAAAAATTGATAATTAAATTCAGTAATTATTGTTATTGGAGTTGGAAAATTATTCTTTCAGGGTAATGATTTAATAATCGAATTGAATAGTGTCTGTTGATTTTAAAGTTGAAAACCGTTGGGATTCGATCAACGGTATAAATAAATAGAGTATCAAGTGCTGCCTTTTTCGTTATTTATAGATTTATTCTCAACATAGATTCTCTTGTTTGGAATTAGAAATGCGGAATAAACGTCTCCTTCAGACTTATTTGGAGTAATTTTTTAAATAAATTGTTATTTTTTTTAATGATTTTCCGGTGATGAACCATGTTACGCGAAAAATGAAATGTTTCACAAAAGTTTTTCAGTTTCCGCTAAAAATCGCGAGATCTAAGGGAGATAGGAGATTTTTCATAATGACCTTTCCCCTAGGTCTTAATGATCCCTACAAAAAAGGTGGATAGAAAAAATCGGCTATCCGCCCTAGATTCGCCGTTATCCACCGATAACCGCCGATTTTCATCGATTTCAGTTACCACCCAGTATTCTCTGAAAATCCCGCAATCCACAGGAGATATAAAATTTTTCATAATGACCTTTTCCTTAGATCTCACCGAGCTGAACAAAAAAGGTCCTCAGAAAAAAATGGCTATCTCCCCCAGTTTCGTACTTATCCCCGAAAAACTGAATTTGAAAAATGCGTCATCGAAGTGACCGTCACAATTTCAATATTTACTTAAACTCTGACCGATCCGTGGTGGAGAATAATCTATTTGATAATGCGATAAGGGCGGTGACTTAACTTTTGAAAAATGAGTCGGAGGGTGAGACTGTAGTTTCTTAACGATCGAAATGGTGGAATGGGATTGGATGAGAGATGAGAAACGCGGAGGAGTTTATCGTTTGAGAGAACTTACAGTTGAGAAAAGAGATCTTGGATTGTCAGTTAGTGAGGCAGAGTGTTGTTGGATGCTCGTCAAGTCATTCACAGCTCTTTACCAAAACTTCAACTCTCACAACATAAATTTTCCCAATTTAAATGGTGTACCGATTTAAATGTCCAAGGGTACTCGCACCCTGGACCATTCACTGGATAAAACACCGAAAAAGCCCCATAAATTGAAAAATAATAACAACCGTGTACTAATAATTCATGAGTAATAAACATTGTTGTGAAGAATCGTGAATAGATGATAATGTGATAAAGTAATTCATATTTTTTTTTTAATAGTAACGGGATTACACTGAGAGAAATATTCAATAAAAATTACGTGTATTTTCCGTAATTCTGGTGCGAAATGTGGTTGTCGGAAATTTTACGGAACTGTCACGTAATTTTTATCTAAAGTCACGCAATTTTTCCGCGCTGTTCCATAATTTTTATCTGAATTATCGGTGAAAAATAACCATACCGTCACTTAAATTTTTCGGATTAACTCCGTAATCGGTAAGTAAACTGAAAGTTCCGTAATTTTTACTAAATATTTCTCTCCGTGTATGGATGAATATGGATTTTTGATGCTCTTGTTTTATCCAAAGTGCGAAGTGAATTAATTATCGAGAAGGAAATAACGATAAGGGCAATAAAACGTGGGGGCAACACTGATGTTTCCGTTGGAGTCTGTTATCAATGAGTTGAATGATTTCTGGGAGTTCTAGAATGAATTTCTAGTTTCGAGTAATAGATACCCGCGAATTAACAAACGAGTTGTTATTTTATTTTGGGGATAATAAAATAGCGAGGGAGAGGACTTGAGGTGCGATGAAACGAGAAAGGATATCGCGGAGGAAAGGTCTTGTCGCGAATTCCGAGGAGATTCATTCTGGTAAGTTTATGATTGCAGTGATAAGGAGGTAATGACGTGCGACAGGTAGTGGAGATGTACCTGTTTATGTCAGACCAGTTGGATTTTTTTATAAATATTAAACATGAAATTTGGGGAATAGGGAGAAATAATTTTTTCAGGCTAACGATATTTCATGCACTGAGAAAAAAATTATTTTTGCCAAGAATTATATATTTATATATTTATATATTTATATATATAATTATATAATTTATATATTTTCTTCCCACAAGTAAATTTGGCGATCACTGTGTAAATACTCCCATAAGACTTACTAATTAATAAATGCCAAATATATTTTCTTGTGGTTAGTAAATATTTTTGAGTAAAGAAAATTTTTTTCTCGGTGTGTAATTGCGGTGAGAGTCGTAATCAATGGCTTGAGATCATTAGAAATATTTTTAATGATATTTATCAATTTTTTACCGGTCCAGTGATGATTATATTTTTTTATCAGAAATACTATATTATTTATCGAAATATTGGGGGCAGCGGTTATTTATATTTAATCGCTAATCGATAAATCCTAAAACGATAGTCGAGTCTCTAGCTATATCGAGATTAGAAGGGGATATTGAAAGGGAGTACTTGTAATCTGAGTTGTTGATAAACCCAGAGTCATTAGGACTCAAACCGATAAGCGGTAGATTTTCTGTGGACGAAATTCAAGGGATTGTTTGTTCACTGAATTACCCGCATGCCCACGACCTACATGTGCACTGATTTTGCGGCATCATTCCGCCGTTGCAATCGATACAGTCGATTAATGATTTATTACAATAAGCTGTTAGTTGATAATAACTCACATTTTTGTGGGAGAGAAATTTTAAATCCCCAGTAATGACGATTTAATAATATCGATTTCGATTGAACTTGGATTTTGGATTTTGGAGTGGATTTTTTTTATCGATCTCAGTTTTTGGGTGATATCTCGGAATTGAAGGGTGATACTGATTTTTTTGGTGATACATTTTTTGTAGATAATTGTGATAGCTACAAAAAAGGTATTTACGGTAATGTCACTATTTTTCTTCGATACCGAGATATTTGGGAAAAATGAGCTAGAGAAAGTGCGCGCTTCTCCTAGGGTACCATTCCGCTACTGAATTATTGCAACTAAACAAATATTTTGGTGAACATTAAGATAAATAAGATGTTGTGTTGAACATTTGGAGACTGTCCTGAGCTCAACAATTTTTCTCACTGAATAAATTATTTATATTGACAGCAATAAACTGGGATAATTCTATTTTTTTCGAGGCAATATTTTTGCAGTTGTCTTTTATTTATATTTTTACAGACCAGCTCCAGAATTACGTAACATTAATGAGATTAGGAAAAAACTAATTGGTGGGAGATTCACTACTAGTTCCAGACAGCTGTTCCTCTGTCTCCCGTAATTTAATGATAAATGGGAGATCTTAAAATTTGTTCTGATAACCGAATGACATTTAACGGTCTGGGGTCAGACCGATAGAGAACTTCCACGCAGTCCATTTTATTTCCCCTAACTCCATTAAAAAAACAAGAATTTTCCCAGCTAGAAAATAAAAATATCCACGAAATATCAAATTTAAATTAAATTAAACAATCGACGTGATTCAATTTTTAATAATTTTTTAAATTATCCATATTAAAACAATTTTACCCTTTCTTTCACCGCACACCATAAAATACGTGCGCGTAAATACCTAGTGGAATAAAAAAAAATTCTGGGATGGGTTTGATGGAGTCCGAGGAAGACATGAGACTCGTTGTCCATCTCCGTTGACCGTGGAGATAACGCCCTGACCCGTTGCCCAGAACTCCAACATCAATGCCCCTCACTGTCTCCTCCATTTTGCATTATGTACCACTCCATGAATTCCCATCCCACAACCTCTATTATGTTTATCCGAAATTCATCCACAATAGGAACGTCCAGGAGTCCAGATTATCCAAGTCCCCTTCCCCGACCTAAAATATTTAATTATCTATCTCACAAGAGAATTTTCCTGGTAAACTTCCACCTAAATTAAAAAATCGTACTTCCCGACGGGAACCATTTTGTCGTGCGGCCATTTTGTCGTCGAATCTCATATGCGTGATGGTCATGCGCACGAGTCTTGAGTTGTCAAACTGAAAATTAATGTAAAAATCATAATAAAATACGAAATTAATTACAGATTCACCTCCAGATATCGCCGAAGGACGAGAAATTGTGGAGCGTCTGCAGAGGACACCTGGAGGCCCGGAGAAATTCACAAACTGCTTGGGTAGAAATATCTGTGGTGATGAGGCTGCCTGCAGGCAATTCCCGAATAACACTTCAAAGTGCGTTTGCACTCATGACTCATCAACGCCAACTGATGATCTGAAGTGTTTGACACGAATCACTGTTTCCCCGGAAGTGGGGAAACCCATACCTGTGCGACCCCCAATCAGTATCACAAAAAATAATACAGACCCCCTACCAGATCGGGGACATGTGAGTTTTAATTTAAAAAAATATTCTACTCAATTCCATTATTTTATAAATATTTGTAATAATTGTATAATTATTAACCTATAATTATAAATTTTTGAATGAATGAATGAATGAATGGAGGAGATAACTTTCGTTATCATCTGAAAATTGAGTAATTTATTTTTTTATTAATGAACGCCACAGTGGGCTGAACATCATTAATCATAAGACGACTGACGTATTTTTCTTTCTCTTAGGTTGAGGAAACGGATAAAGAAAAAATAGCTGGGATGATTGGCGTCTTGATAGCTTGTCTGGTGGTAATCGGAATCATTGCCGTCATATTCCGCTTGTGGAGGAGAAAATGTTACAGTGAAAAAGTCGAGGGAAAGACTCTTGACGTGAGTATCTGAATAAAAGAAAGAATTAATGATCAATGGAATGGAATAAGACGATGTTCCGAGGACTTTTGTAAGGGAGCTGAAGGAAATTGGTGATTCCTTGAGTGATTGATAACCTATTTTGCTTCAATTATTTCGGGAATGAGGGGTTCTTTGAATTCCTGATGATCAATATTCGTAATAATCTCAAGTCTCCAGGACCGATCGATGAATTCTGACGTTCGTCTCCCAATTGGTGTTCATCTCCCAAATATTTCAGCTTCTGTCAGTCCACTCGAATTTTTTATAAATATACCAGCGCAAAATCGAAGATGATTTCATGTGTTTTCTGTTATTTTAATAACAAATTGAATTTTGTTTACAGTTATCGCCGATGAATTTGACAAAAAGTCTCTTGCTACCGAACAAGTACATCCAGAATCCCCAGTACTTCGGGTGTACCCCACCGGAAGTACCAATTCTTCATCGTGATCATTTGGTCTTCATGTTTGAAGTGGGTGAGGGCTGTTTCGGAAAGGTGTACAAAGGTAAAATAAAAATAGAAAATCTAAAAGACTCCGCTTTAAACCCTCGTCATGGAACGAGAAACATTTCAACTTTTTCTCTTTCAATTTCACATTTAATCCTGTCCTTCACTCTCAGGTGAACTTCGTCACGTCGACAGGACGGAAATTGTTGCGGTTAAAGTTCTCAAAGACGGGGCGTCACGAGAGGCTGAAGAGGACTTTATGCGAGAGGTTGAGATAATGTCGACTTTTCATCACGATAATATTTTGTCACTCGTCGGAGTTGTTCTGAGGGACTCCAGTAATAGTCCATGGATGGTTTTTCAATTCATGCCTCATGGAGATCTTGCTAAAGTCCTCAGGGCTAATTCCAGACAATTTCCTATCTGTTCTATCTCTGGACTCGAACCTCTTACTAAGGTAATAATAATAATAATAACAATAATCGTTTATTAATCATTTTATACTCTATTAATTATTTAATGGCAAAATGGAGAATTGTCTACATTTTTTGCAATGTTTTCACAATTTTTTTCACGAATTGAATCAATTATAAATTAATTAAATTGATTCATTGATTTGTTTAATCAGTGATTTTATTTTCAGGACTCATTGTATTGGATTGTAGTGCAAATAGCCTCGGGCATGACGTATCTCTCAGCACAGAGATTCGTACACCGTGACCTGGCTTGTCGTAATTGCCTCGTCGGGGATGATCTAGTGGTTAAAATAGCCGACTTCGGGATGTCCAGGGATATCTACACTTGTGACTATTACAAGGTAATTAACATTATTATTTAACAAATTCTCGAGGAAAAAATCGTAAAATTTTATTTAATTTTGTCATTTCCCGGATTGGGAAAAATTGGAAATTATACTTGACTTAACGAGCACCTGGTTCTGTGTGTAAAAATAATTTCTGGTGGTGAAAATGAAATTTCTGTGGTACCCCGACAGATTGGTGGATCCAGGATGCTTCCAGTTCGGTGGATGTCACCAGAGAGTGTAATCTACGGACGATTTACCCTGGAGAGTGATGTCTGGAGCTTCGGGGTAGTCCTCTGGGAAGTTTACTCATACGGTAAACAGCCGTACTACGGACACACCAACGAAGAAGTTGTTAAACTCATTTCCCAGGGAATAATGCTCATTCCACCGGAGGATTGCCCTCCATTCATATGTAAAATAATGTCGGGCTGTTGGAAATCAGAACCGCGAGACCGTTTTAAATTTCCTGAAATACTTGAGAGATTGCAGAAAGGACGGGAAACAGTGGAGATGGAAAAAGGAAGTTTACCCAGACCACCCCAGGGACCGGTCACCATTCCCTCTCTCGACATCCTGGACACAGGGGGATATCTTGTACCTGCACCCACTCAACCCAAAGAATATCTCCAACCACTTCCCCCTTTCCACGTGTAAATAAACTATTTGCAGTCAATTTACACAATTTTTTGATGGAAACGCTGAAATATTCTGGAAAAGTGGATTCTAGGCCCGTTTTTACGCGATTTCTCGGGATTGAAAGGAGATAGCGAAATTTTTATTAATATATTTTTTTTAGAGGAATGTGAGAGCTAAAAAAAAGGTGGTTATAAAAATTTCACTATCTTCCTTCAATTTCTAGATTTTTCCAGAAAACTCAACTCGAAAAATCGCAATTTGACAAAAAAAAATCGCAGTTTTCGTGATTTTTGCAATATAAAATTCGAATTAAAAATTCGCAGACGGAATTGTATAAAAAACAATAAGAGATTGATGACTTGAATTAATTTATTACATACGGGCGATGAAATAATAATAATAAATAAATAAAAAAGATGTACATTCTCAGGAATCGATGGAGCGCTGTAAAAACAGAAAGAAACTTTAGTATTATTTATAAAATAAATAATTAATTGTAAATAATTTATTACTACGTGAACTTGATTTTTAATCGATGTACAGATATAATGTCCGAGTTGGTGAATAAATATTTTCTGAGGGCAGTGAAGTGTTGTTTTTATTTTCCTAATTCAAACTCTCGCTTTTGATTTTTACTTGTACGTGTGGATAATGAGGACAAATGGTGGCTATTTACATGGCGCCATTGTTTGCCGATTCACTGCACTTTATCATAATTACTTGACAATTTTATGTCAATTACACAGCCACTGGGACATGCAGAGATATTTCTGCATTTTTTTTTAGCGGAATCAAGAGCTCGCGATAACGAAAATCAATTGCTCTCTCGATTTTACGATTTATTTTTGCTTGTGGATAAACAAATTTATAAAAATAATATTTTTTCATTTTTCATCTCTTGTACGTAAAAAAATGAAGAATTGACGAATAAATATGATTTTTTTTTTAAATTATGAGATGATGATTTTTTTTCGCAATTGAATTGAATAATTCAATAAAATGAAAAGTTTAATAACTCGAAATCGGAGGAAGATATCAAAATTTCCGTAACTACATTTTCTATAAAAAATTGAAATATCTACAAAAAAGCTAATAATAAAAAAATCACTACCTCCCACCCCTTTCAAGTTATTCCCTAAAAACCGGTCGACAGCATTAATATTTTTCCAGAATCATAAAAAAAAAACGCTGAAATCCCCAAAAACCGCTCTAAAAATTGACTATAAATCCAATTCCCAGTTTTTCCACGAGTTTTTCCAAAAGCCAATGAAAATAAAAAAACGGCGCCATCCCATCCGATTTTCACTTGTTGAAATCAAAATAAAAGACAAACGTCAATTAACATAAAAATCATGTACGACGACTGTCTCCTGCTATCAACGAGATTTCCACAAAAATTGTGGCGAATCGTAAACGATTGCACAAGTGGTGCAATAAGCTGGAGTAATAACGGCGGAAGTATTCTCCTCGATTACAAAAAATTTCACAACGAGTACCTCGACCCGAATAATTCAATATTCAAAACAAGCAACGTAACAAGTTTCATACGCCAGCTAAATCTCTATGGATTTCGCAAGGTGACATCGCACAGTCGTGATCCCCAGTGTAATTCACGTAATCCAGATGTCCACGAATTTATCCATGAGAATTTCCAGAGAGAACATGACGAGCTGTTGAAAAAAGTTTGTCGTAAAGCATCAAGAAAATGTAGAAAAGACGTAAAGAGAAAAAATGGTGAGCAGTCAACATCGAGACTGAAAATGTGTCAGGTTTGTTTAAATGTTTTACCTGCATACCCTTGATTTCCCATGGGTTAATTAAAATTTCAAACGAATTTTCCACTGACTATACAGTTTGCACTGACGAAGGCACTGGAGCAAGCTGTTGAGGATTATCGAAGGAGAAAATTGCATCAGGAGGTGATTAATGTTAACGTTAAGCCATTCTGTCCCTCGTCTTCTCATCTTCAGGGGTATAATTACTTCCATTAAGCAAGTGCAGAACGAAAAATGATAATTCGAGCTAGAACTGAATTTTCTGCAACTCGACAGAAAGTCTCAATTAAAAATCAATTTTATACAATAAAATTTCATTTCTCTTTTTCCATCGAGTTATCAAGAAAATATAAACACAGAAAATAATGATTTATCAATTATTTAAATAAACAAAACCGAGAAATTTGAGTGAAAATAATTCAATCGTTTTGGCATTTCTATTGGAAAATTGAAAATGGATTGAAAAATAAAAATGAAATATTCTAGGGCAATACCAATAAAAGTAATAAAATTCGATTATGCATCTTTCATTTTTCAATTCTTCCAATGATGACAGTGAAGTACCAACTAGGCGTATGTACACATTATTGAAGTTATTAACATTATGAGACTTGTCGGATGGTAATGGGCAATATTATCCGCTCTCACGAGTCTGATTAAAATTTGTACATTTGAATCAGTGGAGTTTCAGCTGCGAAGACCATTGATAAGTTTAACGGTGAGACTCAGACGTGATTTCAGCATTCGACAGCTGTCCTGAATGCTCTCCTGGGTGTGTTCTAAGACAACATTCGCTGATTGACTGAGAGTTATCTCCAGACCAGTCTCTGGACTCCTTTTCTCCATATTTGTCAGTACTGACTCCAGTCTTTGAGCTTTTTCAGTAAGTAAATGGCCAATTTTCGTCCAACTCTGTAAATAAATAAATAAATAAATAAATAAATAAATAAATAAATAAATAAATATCACGAGAAAAATTCACTCCAATGACAATTCAATATTAACATTCACGATTAATTAATAATCGATAGAAATAATTTCAAATTTAAATAAATGAGTAATAATAAATCACCTGGACATCATCGTTGTTGATAGAAATTTCTTTGCTGTGACTCTTCTTCCTGTTCCTTCTATTGGCAATTCGTGGGTGAGATTGATTCGAGAATTCAACACACATTGCCCCAATAAAAGCGAGAGTCTCTCCACAGGTAGCAGCCCTGAGCATAAATTCTTTATAACTAACGATGCCCTCCCCCACATCAATGGCTTCAAGACAGACAGCACCACGAAGTGCCTCGATAGTCTCGTCATCGGGTTTTGATAATTTGGCAAATGCCTCTGCAACTCTCGCTATTATTTTCAACTGTCCAGAGTCACGTGCCTCCCTCAAACGCTCAACAGCATCCATAGGAATCACCTGATTGTCAACCCTGACTCCTCTCTCCTGTTGAAATAACTCCAGACACTTGGCCAATCGTTCACTCTCCAGTGTCCTGAGCTCGCCCGATAATTTACTGAGGAGTGACGATGAGTCCGGCTCAGCAGTCGCAGCAATAATTCTCAGTATCAAATTTCTAGCAGCTAAAATAGTCATCATGCATTCACGAGTGTCATCGTATCTCCTGGGATCTTTGCTCTTGGTGATTGGCTCCCAGCTGACGACAACCTCAAGATCTCTATTGTCCCTCAATAAATCCCACCTGATGGGATCCTCGTGTGGCTGTATCCTCATCGTTGCCAGAGTGCCTGACAGTGACTTGCAGCTCTCACACCAACTGATGTCCAACAACATTTTATCAACAGTTGATGTAGCGAAGTGGAGAGACTTCTCCAGTCTCTCCCTGAGCTCCACGAACTCCTGAATTTTTACGAAGCTTCCATATTTGTACGCAAATGTTAATCTGTCAGCGCTGTGTTTGTAATTGCCAATGAAAAATTTGACAGCTTGATCCAGGGCACTCGCAGCACCGGACAGATGTCCCATGGGTGCCAGGAGAGGTACGTGGAGATAACCAAGTGAATCCAGCTGAATCTGCTTGACATCTAGAAGAGCATAAGCATGATCAGCAGCACCAATCAATCCAGCCTCGAGATAAGACCTGACGAGCATTATTTTTAGGTGAAAATTGGCTGGACTAGTTGCCAGGGCATTCTCCAAGTGCATCATCCCCTGGTAGAGGTATCTAGCATCAGACGTCTCGTAGAACAACTGGAGGAGGACATGGGATGCTATTAAAATATACGAGTCAAATGGTGCGAAATCGGTTGGCAATCTCTCGTCTGATGGACAGAGTTTATTTCCAATATCGTAGAACTTGCAGAGACGCTCAACGAGACGCGTTCTCCCCTGGACATCGAGATTCGGTGAGTGATGCATACCGCAAATTCTCTTGAGCTCCTCCAGATGAATATGCCTGAGCATTTGATCAGTGGATGTCGGTGGAGTATCATCTGTCACTCCAACATCCCCAGATATCTCCTGGAACAGCTGAATCCTCTCGTTATCAGTGAAAAGATCCAGGTAGAGCCTGAGATCGCCCACGATGCAGCCCTTATTACCAAATTGTTCGAAATATTTTCTCATGAGTTTCACTGGCTCAAGAACATCTCTCAAATGTATCTCCACTGAGTTACAACGTTTCAGGAGTTCGAATCTCCCCAGCTGTGGACCTCGCACCTTTTTTCCAGATGTCTCAGCTATTTTATCGAGAAACTCCAGGCACTCTGTTGGCTTCTGGTGCTCCAGGGCTGATGTCAAATAATTCAGATAGTGCGACCAGTTGTCGCTGTCCTCGGTGATGAACTTCTTGAAGGCATTCGTCGCTTCCTCGTGTTTATCGAGTTTTAGAAGGAGACTAGCTTTTCTTTGGGGCACACCTGAGAGTTTGTCAGAGAGTGGACCATTAAGTACCTCGAGTACACTCTCGTCTTTACCCTGGAGCTCTAGAATCATCAGGTAAAGCTGTACCTCTTGCTCTGCCTCGAGTTTATCCTCATTGACGAGCTTCAGGACCATTCTCTCTGCCAGAGGGAGAATCACATCTTTCGCTAATTTATCGTCAGCCTCAATTGCCTGCATCACAACACTCATCACTGCCCAGAAGTAGTACGGATTTTTGAGTTTTAATTTATAAAGAGCTAGAGCTGTTTGCTGCTGCTTTCGAAAATCACCCAGACGAACGTACGCCATAAAGAGGTGTGTCAGCAGCTCCTCGTTGTGAGGATCAGCTTTTGCAGCTGCTTCATAAACCTCTCGAATTTTTTCGGGCTGATGGATCTCCTTGTAGCAGATACTCATCGCTTGGAGAGTTGAATCCTCACAGGGAACTTCAAAACGCACCTGTTCCATTATATTCTGGCACTCATCCTCTTTACCTAGTCTCAGGAGGGCCAGGGCCTTGAGGACTCTTGCACACTGATTCGTTGGCTGTTTTCTGAGGACTTTGTCTGCCTCCTGGAGGGCCTTTTTATTGTTTCCATTGTCCAGCCAGTCTGGAATTGCAAATGTGAGATAATCATGTTACATAACCTATCCCACCGGTTTATGAATGATAAACAAAAAATTAGGATTGATTTGGAATAGCTCAGGGGGACAGGGGGAATTTAGTGTGGAGAATAATTTACCGTATATTGGACGCAGACGACGTTCATTAACTGTACTGTCCACATGGGCCTTTGACGCCATTCTAATACTCCTATCGGTTTTTATTTCAAATGGAAAACCATCGTCCGGGGCTTTCGCTGTCTTTCTTCAATAGAGGAGAACGATAATACGGTTTTGAGCAGAGAGAATGGATATCGGGAGAGGCTACAATTGGGAGACTAGAGTCACTGGGGATTTTTGGTACTGACACCAGGGGTGAGAGGGCCGGACTTCATGAAGTTCATGCTTCTTTCCCGTTTTCCAATGCATCTGCAAAAATTTTATGAGAATGATCATTGATGTTTCGATAGTTAATGATAACGATATGAGGTGATATAAGTTGTCAGTCGACTCGGTAAATGCCTCAGTAGCAATACCGAGTCCTTTGATGGTCAGACACCCCAGCATTGCGTGTGGCACCCTCTCTCCCTGGGGGTGAGGTACTATGATACCAGTGGGGCCACTCAAACCCCCACAACTGAGCCTCTACTTCAGTCAATTCTCTTTGGTCTAGCCTCTTTGGATAATCCTCCGGAGAACTTGCGCGGTACCAGTCCTGAATGCTCCCATTTTATTTCGATGACAATGGCGGCAGATCCCGAATCGTTTCAAGAGCTTTTGAATACATTTTTAAGCACCGACAATGACGTCCGAACTCAAGCTGAGGTACGATATAATTTTCAATATCACGTATTCATCATGATCTCCACAAATTCTTGAATGTATCATTTTTTATTCAATTTCTTTGACATCGAATCACGTTGCCATCGTGTTTGGCAGACCCGCATGGGATTTTGTCAATCACCCAAAAATACCCATAATTGAACTCCCCAATTAATCTCCTCATAATTACACAGGTAATTAGCGAGTTCTAGATCTCCTGGGGCTGTTCTCCAAGGGTTTAACTATTTTTTATATTTATTTCCAGAAGATGAAGTCATTTGGTGGAGTGAATAAAATGGAGTCGTCGCGTGGCAATCAGACACGCGCCCCCTTTATTCCCCATTTTTCACATTTTTTTTTATCCAAGAAATTTGAAATTTTGAGGATTCCAATTCCCCCATTGTTTCGATGTTTTTTTTATTATTTATTCCCACTGGATTATTCCTAATTCTCGATACTCGGGATTTTTTTTTCCCCCGGATTATGAGGTTAAATGTCCTCGCGCCATACCTGGATTACACATGCGGGTCGCAATCATGGAGATTGAATAAATTATTATTATTGTTACTTCTGGTTAATTAAAGATTCAATTCACTCACCGCGAGATTATCCACGTGAGAATATCTCTATATATTTATTCCGCTGACTAAATTCACATTCACTATTCACTGAATTTACAATTAATTATTTTTTATTGAACTCTAAGAAAAAATTATGTTAAATAAATTCACTTGTCGATTAATTAATGATCGTTTAATGAATTCGATCGATTCGAGGAATTTCTTGAATTATGACAAGATTTTGTGTTCTGAGAATATTCAGTCATTTTTTAATTATTATTGTTATTAATTGGGTAATTATATTCTTTTGGTTCTAGGGTGCTTACAAGATGGTTCCGATGGATCGGAAAATAACATGGCTACTAAATTCAATATCCAATCCACTGCTGTCCGAGGAGATTCGAATCTTGGCAGCTGTCCTCTTGCGAAGATTATTCTCTTTGAAGTTCATGGAATTTTATCCCAAGGTAATTTGGTATAATTCTCCGAATAATCTCCCAATCACCTTCATTGGTGACAATTAAAAAAATTGTTTTATTCAAGAAATTAAATTTCCCCTGATGTTCTATTTTTCCAATCAATATTAATAAACGGTCATTGAACAGAAGATTGAGTTGGAATAAATGAATTTGATTTTTTATGATAGATTTCACCAGAGGCCCAGGCTGAACTGAAGAAGCAGACTCTCTTGTCAATCCAAGATGAACAATCAGACATTATCAGACGTAAAGCGTGTGAAGTAGCTGCTGAATTGGCGAGAAATTTAATCGACGAGGACGGTAATAATCAGTGGCCGGAGTTTCTCCAGTTTCTATTTCAATGCGCCAATGGCGAATCGCCAGCACTCAAGGAAAGTGCCCTCCGTATATTTACGTAAGTCCCAGAAAATTCTCCATCACCTGAAATTTTATTTCACCCCATTTATTTATTATTAATTGAATTTATTTGCAGATCTGTACCCGGAGTTTTTGGTAATCAGCAGGCGAATTATTTAAACCTCATCAAACAGATGCTACAGCAGTCTGTTCTCGATGCTGCCAATTACGATGTGAGTCCAATTATTTATTAATTTTCCCCTTTTTTCCAATTAAAAATTCAGTGGAAGAATCGATACACGAAGATTTATGAATAAATGATTTTCGTCACAATTTTTTCCTAGAGAATAATGTTTTCTGATGACTGTAAATTCTGAAGTGATTATTTACAGACAGATACGGAGCTGACAATTAATTAATATAAATAATGGAATGCGTGGGTTTTTTCAATTTTTTATTTCAATTTTATAGACTGTTTAGATCTAAATAGTGAAGAGGAAAATTGTTTTTATAAATTTTTAGGTTCAATTCCAAGGAGTCCGAGCCATTGGAGCCTTCATAATTCTCCACGAGAAGGAAACGAACATCCAGAAACACTTTTCTGAACTTCTTGGACCCCTAGTCCAAGTAACAGCCCTATCAATTGAAAAAGCAGATGACGAGGCTCTGCTGAAGGTGCTGATAGACCTAGCGGAGTCAACCCCAAAATTCCTGCGTCCCCAATTAGAAAACATAATGGAGCTGTGCACGAAGACAATCTCAAACGAGGAATTGAACGACTCCTGGAGGCAATTGGCACTGGAGGTGTTCGTTACTCTGTCAGAGACAGCACCAGCAATGGTGCGAAAAGTTGGTGGCAAATACATAACAGCACTTATACCACTCGTCCTGAAGATGATGACTGATCTCGAGGATGATCCCCAGTGGAGTTTCTCCGATGAACTCGTCACCGCGGACAATGACGACAATACTGTCGTTGCTGAGAGTGCACTAGACAGATTGTCCTGTGCACTGGGTGGTAAAACGATAGTACCACAGATTATACAGAATATTCCAGGAATGCTGAATGATACCTACTGGAAGTACAGACACGCCGCACTCATGGCCATTTCTGCAGTTGGTGAGGGTTGCCACAAGCACATGCTAGGCGTTCTTCCCCAGATTGTCACTGGAATTATGCAGTATCTCCAGGATCCTCATCCACGAGTGAGATATGCAGCGTGCAATGCGATTGGACAGATGTCCACAGATTTTGCTCCACTATTTGAGAAAAAATTCCACGACAAGGTCATCCCTGGACTGCTAATGGTTCTGGATGACAATGTTAATCCCAGGGTTCAGGCACATGCTAGTGCTGCACTCGTTAATTTCAGTGAGGACTGCCCTAAAAATATTCTCACACCCTATCTCGATGCCATTATGGGGAAACTCGAGGGAATTCTCACCGCTAAATTCCAGGAGTTGGTTGAAAAGGGGACTAAATTGGTTCTGGAACAGGTCGTGACGACAATAGCAGCAGTAGCTGACGCAAGCAAGGAGCAATTTGTCACTTATTATGACAGGCTAATGCCCTGTTTGAAATACATTATTCAAAATGCCAATCAGCAGGACCACAAGATACTACGTGGAAAGACAATCGAGTGTGTGAGTTTAATTGGTCTTGCTGTGGGCTCTGAGAAATTCATCAGTGATGCCAGTGAGGTGATGGATATGCTTTTGATAACTCACTCAGAGGGTGCTCTCCCAGACGATGATCCACAGGTAAGCTATTTGATATCAGCCTGGGCAAGACTGTGCAGAATTCTTGGGAAACAATTTGAGCAGTATCTGCCACTGGTGATGGGGCCTGTTCTACGAGCTGCTGCTATGAAGCCCGAAGTTGCTCTATTGGACAATGAGGATATGGAAGAGGTCGAGGAGGATGTAGATTGGCAATTTGTTTCACTGGGAGAGCAACAGAATTTTGGACTCAAAACGGCTGGTCTTGAGGATAAGGCATCAGCCTGTGAGATGCTTGTTTGTTATGCCAGGGAGTTGAAGGAGGGATTTGCTGATTACGCTGAAGAAGTTGTTATGCTCATGGTGCCAATGCTCAAGTTTTACTTTCATGATGGTGTCAGGACAGCTGCTGCTGAGAGTCTACCTTATTTGCTTGAGTGCGCCAAGGTTAAAGGTTTGTACAGAATTTTTTTCATCATCACTGAATCAATATCAATTCACCACAGATCGAGTCAGCAGTCCAATTTATCAAATTGTGATGGCGTTACGTCAGTGGTAGATTACACTGGCACTCAGCCTTAATACTTGATTATCGTTTTGATAGTCAGGTACATGAAGGTCGTTTGTCAAAAGTTCCTGAGAGTTGATCCTGGATTTTTTGCCATGATCATAGTATTGGAGCGAACATTGCACTTTTAAAATGAAAAATATTCCATAAAAATGATAATGAATTGAAAATATGTTAAATGAAATCCCGTGATTTTTACAGGAGCTCACTACCTGGAAGGCATGTGGGCGTACATTTGTTCAGAGCTGTTGAAGGCCATCGACACGGAGCCAGAGTCAGAGGTTCTCCTGGAGCTGCTGTACTCTCAAGCCCAATGCATCGAGACTCTGGGCGCTGGTTGCCTGAATTCCACTCAAATGACAGAGCTCCTGCGAATTCTAGATAAATTATTGAACGAGCACTTTGCGAGAGCAGTAGCAAGACTGGAAAAACGAAAAGACGAGGACTACGACGAAATTGTTGAGGAGCAATTGGCAGACGAGGACAAAGGGGACGTCTTCACCTTGAATAAAATAGCTGACATCCTCCACGCTCTCTTCATCACTCACAAGGAGGCATCCTTTCCATTCTTCGATCAGATATGCGGTCACTTCGTTAAACTACTGGCACCAGAGAGATCCTGGTCAGATCACCAGTGGGCACTCTGTGTCTTCGACGATGTGATAGAGTACGGTGGTCCAGCGTGCGCCAAATATCAGGAGTACTTTCTCAGACCGATGATCCAGTACGTGACTGATAAATCTGGTGAAGTGAGACAAGCAGCTGCTTATGGCTGTGGTGTACTTGGACAATTCGCTGGTGAGGCTTTTGCACCAGCTTGTGCTGAAGCACTACCAAGGCTCATCGAGGTCATCAATGAGCCTGGCTCACGTGCACCAGAGAACCTCAATCCCACTGAAAATGCCATATCAGCTGTTACAAAAATTCTAAAATACAACAACAAAGCTATCAATGTCGATGAAGTACTACCACACTGGCTCTCGTGGCTACCAGTTGTTGAGGATGAGGATGAAGCACCACATGTTTATGGGTATCTTTGTGATCTTATTGAGGCGAATCATCCACTCATTTTAGGACCCACTAATGCCAATTTACCGAAACTCATTAGTTTCTTTGCTGAGGCACTCTTTCAGGACGCTATGCCAAGTGATAATCCAGTTATTGAGAGGATTGTTGGCATTGTCAAGCAGATACAGAGCAATGACTCCATGTTTCAGGCGTGCATTGCTGCATTGAACGACGATCAACAGCAGGCACTCCATGAGGCACTCAGTAAACATTCAAACTAGCGTTATTGAGAATTTTTATTTTATGATAAAGTTTACCATGAGGGAATTCGTGATTTGTCATTTATCATTTATCATTTCGTGGTTATTGGTATGTGGAATCATCATTGAGGATGAGATGAATGAGATGGATCGATGATTATTACCATTTGTTGTCACTTGATTGAACAATTCATTGGGAGTTGAATGGAACGTTTTACCTCTTTGATGATTTATTCATTTGTCAATTCACACGAGATTTTTACATTTTACCACTTCATTGCTGAATTGTTTATTTAGTATCGGTAATCGTCGTCGATTAAATATTCTTTGTGCCTTTCAGTGCCGACTTCCTGAATATTTATCGAATAAATACCGATCAAGCTGATAGAATTGTGGGGTGCAGTGAATTATTGATAATTTTTGTGATTACTGGAGTTCATGGGGGTGTAATGACAATTTTAATGTCCAATCGATAATATAATGGGGTGAAATTAAATTAATTTTAACAGTAATTATCGTGCATGAATAGGAGAATTAATTAATGAATTTAATTAATGCTTATGTGAATTATTTAGGTTTGTTGGTAATATTTTTTTAAACGTCATTCTTTTTTTATTATTCATAATTGCACTCGATAAATTTATTGATTTTTTTCTTTTTCTTTTTTTCAACGAGGCTGGTACTGTTGAACAATATAGTCGACATTATTTTGTAAATAACCTGGCCATTTGTTAATATGATTATCGATGATTATTTTTTATTGTCAGTGCACTCCCGTGAATTTTAAAACCTGTACTGGAAGAGGAATGCATAATAATTGGCGTAACAAGTCCTTTTTCTCTGTGCAATCATCACAAATACGAATTGATATTTCGAGAGAGTGTCGCTGAATTATTGATATGTTATCACAATTAACAATTATTGAAAATGCAGTCCAACCATTGATGGTTTCACCATTGTATGCTAATTGTAGGCATCAGAGTAGAGCAGATTAAATCATTTGCCAGTTAATAAAACTCGAACATTAATGTGATTTAAGTATTTTTTTTATACATTGAAGTGGATCTTTAGGTACCAATAAATTATTATTTAATGGTGAAAATTTGTTGGCAATGGGTGACGATCTGGAGTTACAGCTTTTCATTTTTTCCTTCGGAATTATTTTTCATTAATAATTCTTTCCATTTTTTTTTGTGCTATTGTGTTAGTTCTGTATTAAAAATTGTCGATTAATTTTTATCGGATAATTCATTGTATTTTTACAATTTATCTTGTATTTTTGAATGATACTTGTTCCTCGGTAATTAGAGGGGATCAAGTGTTTAAGTGAATTGTGTAAAATATGAAGGGGAAATTGTATCGATAGATGGAGAAATGATTATTCCTGTCTGGAGGTCAAAGAGAGACTGATAATTATCGAGAGTTCTCCCTGTCATTGAATTAAATATTTATCACCGCAATTTGCAGAAGTCTGTCGGTTTTTCCCACGATTGAATTCATTGTAATTGTCGTAATTGTCATAATTTCGTTGAGTTTGTGAAGGAAGACAGGTGGAAGGCACCAGTCTGGTGATAGATATGATGGCGATAACTCGAGATATCAACAATTTCGTTGGGATTAATACAAAAATATTGCGACTTGTTGGACTTTATCCAAAAAATTACAACAGATACATCAGCTGTGTATTTTTTATGAGTCTCATTATTCTCCCTGAAGTACTCGAGATTTATTATCATCGAAATAATTTCGATGTTGTCCTGGAGACGAGGTAATCACTTGATAATTGTTTATTGAATTATTTCTGGTAATTGTTAATTAAAATGCCTTTCGGTTTCAGTTCTGTTCTTATGACGATTGTTTTCGCTATTTTTAAATCGAGTATTTGGATGACGAGGGGAGATACTGAATATTTCGTGGATTTTCTTGTGAATGATTATTGGAGAATTGCCAATCGTCTTGGAGATCCGGAGGACATCCGCAAATTTGCTAAGTAATAAAATATCTCATTTCGTTTTCATAAAATAAATTCCTTTTAATTCCCCGAATTTTCATTTTATCAATCCATTTAAAATCAATTGAACTTGATTTAAATAATTTAATCAATTGTGTTAATTAATTATGTAAATTAGAAATGCAATGCAATTGTTTAATCGTGAAAATTAATTGGACTTTTTCATTGATTTTCAGTAGATGATAATTGATTTTTTATTTCAGATTGGCGAAGATAATCACTGTGAGCTATTCCTTCCTGATTTGCAATTCCCTTTTATTTTTTTACAGCCTTCCTCTTCTCACTCCCTTCCTGAATTCAAATGATACAAGATTGCGAGTTCCTTTCGTCGCGACGTACCCCGAATTCTGTTATCATTCACCAGCTTATGAAATTGTTTATTTATCGCAATTACTGGCGACATCCACTTGTGGTTTAATTATCCTGGGGACTGATACGTTAATTGCAACAGCTTTATTGCACACGTGCGGCCATTTTGCTATTATCGAGAGGAATATCTCGAGATTGAATTTTTTTGAGTCTGTGGAGAATTGGGAGCCGCGGGTCAAGATGATTATTAGACATCACCAAGTCGTCATCAGGTGATAATTATCAATTGGGGATTAGTTATTCGATTCATCCGGAAGAATCTAGAAAATTCTGTATTTTTTTTTCGGTGAATTGCGGTTTTGGGAAATTTAATTGAGAGAAATTCTGAAGTTTAGATTCTCGGATCGTCTGGAGGTTCTCTTCAATCCTCTGATGTTTCTTCAAGTATTCGCTAGTACTTTGATCATTTGTCTTGTTGGATTTCAAGCGCAAACGGTGAGCGAAATCATCGAAATGATTTTGTAAGTTATCGGGAGGAAATTAATTATCGAAATGCGGTGTAAATTTATCGAGAATTTGCCAGTAAAAAATTTTGGAAAGATCATTTTTATTTTTTTATGAAGAATATTTAATTATTTCGAAGATAAATATCGCCAAGTCGCTGGATTTTTTCTATCAAAATGTCTGCCAACAATGGCGGATAGCGCCAAGATGGCGAATCGCAAACGGATGGACGGCGTAAAAATGGCCGCTGTCCACGTCGCAACTTGAAATAATTATTAAAATTATTTCAGCAGTTCTAATTATTCTCTGTTTATTGCATTATGCTCTCACGAGGTGAACCTTTTTTTTAAGCACTTGTGCAAGTGTTTGCGGTATTTTTTGGCTGAGAATTCGGGACTCGAAGTTTTTCCCCCGCATTTCGGTGATTTTTTTGCTCTCAAATATTTTGACAATGGAACAATTTCACTTTTTTACGAAGGGAAAAGTTGATAAATTCCCTCAATACTGTTCCTACATGATGGTGGCACTCTTCCAACTCCTCTTATTCTGCTGGCCAGGCGATAAATTGATAACTCAGGTAAAAAATGGAGGAATTAACCCAAAAAAATTGACAAAACGTCAAGGAAAATTAAAAAAAAAATCCTCAATGATTGAGTAATTTGAGTAATCATTTTTTAGAGCCTCGGGGTGAGCACAGCAACAATTATATCAAATTGGTATGCTGCCCCGTATCATCTCCGAAGAGATCTTCAATTTATAATTCTTCGATCTCAAAAACCGAATTTTCTCTCAGCGGGAAAATTGAGTTCGATGAATCTGGAGAATTTCTGCGCAGTAAGAGCCATAAAACCATACAAAAATACAAAATTTATTTAAACAATGAAAAATACAGACTCATAGAGTAATTATTTGTTTCAGATCCTGAGTTCATCCCTCTCGTATTTTATGCTCCTCCGTAGTGTCTCCGAAAATTAACATAAAACAAGAACTATATCTCTAACTCCCAATAATTCTCTTTCTATCCTTCAAAAAATCCATAGAAAAATTCTATAAAATTGCAATAGACTTTTCTAATAAATTCCCAGGATGTCCAAATTTTCGCAATAATTTCCCACAAAGGGAATTAAATAAAAATCAATATTTTTTTTCAAATACTTTCACATTTGCGCTCCCCATCCATAATACATCTGACAAAGATTATCAACATTGGTGGCATCCAAAATAAGATGATTGACCTGTCCCGATACACTGAGCTGTACCATACTCTCGTCAACGAGTTTAACAAATCCAGCGAGCCTCTGCTCAATATTCCTGACATTGGCCTCAGCATCGCTGACCCTCTCGGTATAGACAAAAGGTCTGAGAACACTATTCAAAGTCTTTGCCTCAGTCCTGAGAACTCTCATAGTGGCCTCACAGGACTTCCTGAATGGTCCCTCATACCGGAGAGGCCCCATAGCACTCACCATATTATGAGTGAGCCTGAATGGCACCTTCTCAGGTACGTTAAGAGTCTCACCAGTATTAAACAAACAATTAAAATCCACATGAACAGCATCACCACATTTACAATCGAATAGAATATTCTCACCGTGCCTGTCGCCCAGCCCGAGGACATACCCCACCATCGACATAACAGCTGTTGTCCTGATGTAGGCAGTTCTCGCTTCGTACCAGGCATATGGATCAGGGAACATGAGCCTGAACCAGTCACCAAGAACAGGTGGATGCCTGGGTATGAGTTTCTCCAGGAATACCTTACGTTTGTCCTCCAGGGAAGTCCTCTGAGGTGGTGCTATATGCTTTCGCAGCTGATCTCCACTCATTCCCAGGTTTCTCTCCCTGTAAATCCCGAGGAGAGCCTGACGAAATGGCAGAAGATTCTGCACCCACTCGATTATACCACATTTCTCATGAAGTGGCACCACCGAGTACGTCCTGATGTACAAACGCCTCTGCCTGGACTCCGGATCCTTCTGCAGATGCTTGTTAACAATTCCATTGAACTCCATCAGTCGAAAATCCCTTCGGAGATCGTCATCGGGTTTGCACATGAAGCTGTAACGTTTGCCATCAGATCCCCTCAGCATTATCTTCTTGGGTTTCTGTGCAGAAGTCATCACTGTCACTTCCTCCTCAATTCCAACGATTGAAACTCGATCGTTGCTGTGTGGATCGTGTCCCTCAGGTACTGCCCCATCAGCCGGTAAGATAAGCCTGAAGAACTGAGTTGTCGGCATCATTATCGGACCAAAACCCTGATTCTTCAACAATTTGGGAAGACCCCTGCAGAGAATTGACACTTTAGTCCTCGACACACCCTCCTCAATCTTAAAAGACGTAAACTCTATCAATTTCTCCCACAACGATCTGAACGACATCATTATCCTCTTGATGGTGCTATCGTGAAGACTCCTGTGATGCCAGATTCGATCCTTGAAGCTCTGGGGTCGTTTGTCAGCCCCCAGAAAGCTCGTCCCTGGTGACATCTTTGAATTCAAGACGCACGCCATCATCCACATGCAGTACTGGGGATGAAATGCTATCAGTCTCACCAGGATTTTTATCAGCTGCTCCTGGACCTCTTTCGACGGGTGAGATATCCTGGAGACGAGTTGGCTAAGAGCTGTCAGCCAGACGTATGTTGGCAGTCTAGTGCAGAAGACGTCGATGATTTTAGTCATTCTCTCGACCTCAATCACCTGTTCCTTCGTTGGCCTCTCCATCCTGTGCACCTTCTCAGCAAAATCCATCCAGATTGTCAGCATCCTGGGCATCGCCTGGTGAACGTATTTGCAGCTGTACTGGAGTGATCGTCCATAATAAGTGATAATTCTTGAGAGTCTTGTTCCATTATCAACGAATTGTCTTCCTTCGGCGAATGATTCCTGATATTGAGCGAGTGCCAGGGTACTCTTCCCCCAGGACTTCCAGGCACAATAAGCCTCTTCGTAGTACTTCTCATTCGTCCTGTTGTCGACGTTCAACGTCTCCTCGTTGTACCTGGCGAACAGTAATTTAGCTTTGGCAAAGTTCTTGCGATCTGGTGGGCACATGTCCAGTGGTAGCTGCTGGTAATGCTCCAGGGAATCGAAACAATTGGTGAATGATCGTTTCAGGGTGATTCGTGCCTCCTCCTGGCAATTTTTCTGCCAGTAGAGCTGAGCCAATTCAATGTTCAATTCCTGGGGGGGACAGCTGTCAGATGCGGAGAGAATGTACATGTAGGCTTGCTGATAGAGTCCAGACTTCCTCGCGATTTTAGCACTCTTCAGCCAGATCTTGCCGATTTCTTGTTTGAGAAGTGATACGTCTGACGATGGATCTCGGGATTTTATCAGGTGAACAAATAGATCTAGTATTGCTCGTCTCATTCCCAGGACTGATTCAACACCTCTTGATGCTTTTATCAGCTGCTCTCTCTGCTCCCACTCGTTGAAAATCACTGGAAGACTCTCGATGTTCCTCAGCATCAGGTCCGTTGATTTCTCGAATTCATTTAGAGTGTGAAGTTTCATTATGTACGGGTAACTCTGCTGGAGGTACGAGACTCTGTGAGACGTGGCACCCAGTTGTGTCACCAGACGTTTCTTGATACTCTGGAGATCAGGCTGAACACCTCGTCGCAAATCCTCCAGGAGATCCCTCTTCACCGTGTTCTTGTCGTCCTTGAGCTGGACAAAATTGGCTAGCCTCCAGAAGGGCTCGTGCTCCACAATCAAGGGCTCGAGTTCAGGACTCGAACTCAGAACTCCTTCGGTAAATTTCATGGCTGTCACTGGTTGATCCAGTCCCAGATAGCAGTGTATCATTCCCTGGATGAATTTCGGTGCAACCAGACGTTGTGCTAATTTCTCGTAGCATATCGCTGCGTCCTGGAGCTGTCCCGTTACCTCGTGTGCAACAATCAGTTGCTGAAGCGTTGGTGATTGATCCTGAGTTGCTAGGATTCCTGAAACACCATCGGGTTCCTCCAGCTGGGTGTAGATTTTAGCCAGCAATCCACTCTCTGTCTGATCTGACAGGCCCTTATTTTTCGAGGTCATGTGTCTCTCCAGGTACATCAGGGCGCGATGATACTCGTGTGACTTGTAGCAAGCCTCTGCCAGCACCAGACTATCCAATTGCTCGACGAACCTCTGCATTAGATGATAATTTTGGCCCCTGTCCCTTCGTTTTTCACCTAGCCAACGCATCACGTGGTCCAGAGTGGAAAATACCACCTGGGAGCACCTGAGTCTTCTAGCTTCATCGGAAACTCTTATGTCATTCTGCTTGTCATTGGTCTCGCGTCTCAGGGGACGACGAATCAGTAGCTCCTGGTCCAGGGCTTGATCCTCAGACTTAATTACGGCAAAAATCTCAGTGAGCAGTCGATCTCGATCGGTGTCAGAACCCTTGGTGATTATGTGAGTGAAAATGTGGGGAATGCAGAACATTGTTGTCCTGGAGTCTCGCCTCAGGGCTGGTTGGCAGGCTCTGAGGACTGATGACAGCCTTTGGTCCTTTATCTTCAGGATCATCGAGCATGTCCAGTTGTACAGCCACTTCTCGAAGGTTGATCCTGCGGATGAGCCATAGACTGGTGACTCCACGGGATCAGGATCTGCTGTGTGTTTATACCTCGAGTTTAATAATGGGAGAATTCTCTCTTGAGTTGTTGATGAGAGAAAATTCCAGATTCTTGAGTTGGAGCCACTCGGTGATATCTCGAAGGTCTTGAGGATCTCCTGGATAGCGAGGGAGAAGCAGTCGACGTTCTGAGTTATTTTCTCCATCTGAAGGGCTCTGACAAGCTCCTGGAGGACCTCAAGTGCAAAAGTCTCGTTCATCTCGGGGATGAATTGGGAGTCGTCCTTGGAGACAATTCTCCTGGGGAGGAGGCTTGGCTCCACTGCTCCCAATTCCCCAAGGCACTCTCCACACCTCAATCTTATACTCTCGTCCTTCTCCTGGCATCCAGCGAGGAGGGAATCCAGGAGATCGACCACCAGGGGATGGACATCGGTATTAGAAAGGATCATGTCATTCAGGTGACTCCTGTGGAGCTCCAGAAATTTTTTCAAGTGACCCAGAGCCTTGAATCTCACCTCGTCAGTCTCATGTTTGATCCTACGTGTCCAAATCTTGAGTCCAGCCTCAGGATCTCTCGGTGAAGACTTAATCACCTGTTTGGAGACAACGGAGGAGATTCTCTCGTGGACCCTGAGATCTTCGATGAAAAAAATCTCAGAGATGTGGCTCTGCAGGGCTACATTGTTGTCAATGAGCAGAAATTCCATCATGGCGTTGGCCTCCTGGGGATAGGAATCGAGCAGAGGAACCATTGAGACACATATGGTGGGTAGTAAGGGCCCCAAATCCTCCAAGGAGACATTTCTCAGGAAGCAGTCCCAGGCGTAGCACGAGAGCCTCTTGAATCCTGGCCGGTTGAGGTTCAGACACGTTCTCAAGGTCGTCAGGATCTTGTACCTGAGGGGACTGATGTGCGCAGCTCCCATAAATTTTATGAGCGCACCGAGGGATCCCAGGGCTGATTTCTGGGTTCTCTCGTCGCTCAGAGGCCCCAGGTTAGTGTCGAATTTAACGAGAACTGCGTGGAGATGGGGTTTGAGGTAATTAGCAATTGACTCGTTGGACTCGAAATCCCCACCATGATCTGGATCGAACTCTGATATCACCTCGAGACATATCAACACCTCCTCCATCTTGTCATGAAAGTGCAGAAGAACTTTTCGAAATATTCCAATGAACGACATCTTCATCAGATCCCTGAGGGATATCCCCGAGAGTTTTGACACTAGCTCCAGGCACTCGGGACCCACCTCTGGGGCCTCATTCACGAAGACATGGGGGCAGATCTGCTGGAAGTATTCCAGAAACATCTCACGTTCCTCGATACCCAGGAGATCAGCAATTTCCTTGAAGATATCACAGACTTTCGTCACCTGGAGCGCCATGGGAATGAGATAACTGACGACTAGACTTCCATCTTTCCTCATGAACTCACGTGCCCCCGAGTACCCGATGCACTGGACTATTTTAATGAGGGATAATGCGACACTATAATTTCTCTCCACGAAATTATTAGCCAACAGCTGCGTCATACTCTGGACAAAATCTTTTCTGTACCTGAGGAAGAGTTTGTAGGGGGTGAGTTTGCAGTAGCTCGCGACTTCCTTGAAGGCGACAATTGCTGAAGCTACTGCTGTGTAAGATGACTCTGGATGCATGATGAAGATGATGAGAATAATGCAGATCCTCTGCTCGGCACAGTAAATTCCAGCCCGTGCGAGATTCCTCGTAGTGTTGATGATGGACATCTGGAGGGACTCGTTGGACGTCTCGTGGGCCCTCGTCAGTCCCTCCGCGAGTTTATCGATCACCAGTTCGATGAATTCCTCGAGATCCCTCGGGCAGTCGTCTTGGGCGGTCTCTCGTCCCCCAGATATCAATTTCAATTTATTCTGGGCAAGTGTTGCGATGGAATTGGCGATATTATTTCTGATCTCTTCGTCCTGATCGTTGATGAGAGCCAGCCACGTCTGACAAACAGAATTTGTGCTGAAGCTGTGAACATGATTCGAGAGCTTCGAGAGGATTTTGCTCATGGCCCTGCGAACACTCAAGACACTGGAGGAAAAAAAGGAGAAATACGAGGAGAATATTGACTCGTCGATGGGTAATTTATCCCTGAGACCTGGGGAGTGGTCGAAGTGTTTGTCACAGGTGTCACAGGTGATTCTCCAGGCGAGGGAGTCCCATTCTGGACGAATCAGTTGGGCCTTTCCAGAGACAAAGCAGACTGTATCCCCCAGGACCCCAACAACTGCCTCCTGAAGTCCCATCTTCTGGGCGACAACTGCTGGCCTCAAAATATGAAGACTAATATAGTTAAAAGACACCTCCGGGTCATTCAACAATAGAATTGAATTACGAACAGCTGCCACTGCTAGCTCCAGCTCGCAATTCGAGACACACGTGCTGAGAAATTTTATTCTCACTCTTCCGGTTCCAAATTCGCAGATTCTCTCGAGGCACTTGAGCTTTGTAGTCATCGTCAGGGACTTCAGAGACGCTGAGAGTCTCCTAGAGATGTCCAGATTGCTGGAGGACTTGTCCGGAAACCAGGGGAGCAGCAGGAGCTTTTGGACGTCGGATTTAGGGAATTCATCGATGATCATCAGCTCCATCAGGCACAAGAAAATTAATTCCCTGTTCTCAGGGTCCTGAGAGGCCTCCAGGAGACTCGTGAGAGCTGCCATCAGGTATTCAGAGTCATCGAATAGCTTGCCCCGAATTTTTTTACCCATCATCCACAGGGAAATCGTCCTGCCCACCTCCAGGCACTTTCTCACCTCCTCGAGTGATTTAGAATCGATTTTCTCGAAGATGAGAAGTTGAATGGATCGCCAGAGAGGACTGGCACTGGCCGCGACGAGTTGTCCAGCTCCTGAGAATGTATCGAGTTGATAAATGACGAAGTGAGCGACGACGATGGGAAATTTCGAGGATTGACTGAGGTATCGCAGTAAAATCGAGTGATCCTGCTGCGTGGGGGCGCGTGGGTGTCTGATCAGGTGATCCCTGATCTTCTCGATGGCGAAGTGCTCTAGCTCCTTGGAGGAGAGGCGTCCGGAGGTCGTTGCTTCGACGATTGCCATGCAGAGGTCGACGACTTGAGAAGAATTCTGGAGATTTGACAGAAGATTCTTCAGGATCACTGGCGTTTCCTCCATGACGTTGAAATAGACGTCATCCGGGGACTTCTGGAGAGTACTGTGGGTCCTGACGACCTCGATACAGTGAAAAACAAACATTTTCACTCTGCAATCGTCCAGGGGTGTGAATTGAAGAAGTTGAGAGACTAGTTCCATCGATATCACCTTCGACTCAACTCTGCATTTGGTTATTATCCTCAGGGCTCTGTCCCAGAGATCCTCCAGGGGCCAGCAGGTCACCCCAGACTTTATAATTATTTTCATTATCGATATTTCAGTTGTGACGATCGATTCTCGAGTAATTGTCACTGGTAAATTCGTCAGGACGAGTTTCTCGATTGCATTTGGCTCGATCACAAAACGTTTTATTGTTGTCTGGCTCTTCTCTGGGTTCGACTCGAACTCCAGGAGCTCGTCGGTGATCGCTAGGTACTCCTCGGTGATTCTCAGGAATTCAGGCAGGTAGAGGCGAGATAGAATTCGCAGCATTCGTGCCTGCACCTCTAGACTGTTCAGGAGAATCTGGGGATTCAGGGGATCACCCACCACGTGGAAGAGGACACCGAAGAGCCACTTCGTGAAGGCTGAGTACTTGAGTTTCAGGGAATCGTATCGAAGACCTGATTTGTAGGGGGGAATCAGGATATTTATGAAATTCTCAGCTGCACCGTTCAGCAACTCCAGGAAGGCTCGCAGCGTTGGCTCTGATGCTGTCTTCTTCAGGGAGAAGATCTTCATCGCTGGGGCACATATCACTGCCCACAACGATTCGGCCACTGCAATTCTTTAAATAGCAATCAGTAATTAATTCATGAATTCGTAAAAAAAATATTTCTCTCCTTTTACGTCCGAATTTTTGTCGCCAAGTGCAATTGAACTGGCGATTTTTTTTGTAATTAACCGATTAATTAGGTGGAGTAATTAATTTTTGTTTTGTATGAATTTATTATTGCGTTTGTTCGGCGATTTTTCCCACCAAAAAAATTCGAATAGAAAACGGATTTAATAGGATTTATTTTAGGGAGAATTAGAGAAATTATTACCGCTGTTGAATATCAGGGGAATCTGGCTCGTCAATCTCCATTTGTATCAATTGTTAATAACAATTTGATGGTAATATTCACATGATTGACATTGACTTATTGCCTGTGTTAAACCGTCTAAACCGCCATTTCTGAATTATTAAACATTTTGAGGTCAGGTTAGTACAAAAACACATGAAGTTTTTCAGTTCTAAAACCAATTGTTGTTATCTTCACTGCCAAAGAGGATTGACTGAAGTAGAGGTTTAGTTCTGGGGGTTTGAGTGACCCCAGCTGCATCGTAGTACTGCACCCCAAGAGGGGGAGGGCGCCACACGCAATGCTGGGGTGTTTTTTTTTTATTAACAAAGTTTTTATTGCAATGCTGGGGTGTCCATCAAGTCGACGGGGTGAATTTTATTTTCTGCTGTACGAATGCTTTTTGTTATTCATTTGTTTAACTGAAATTTAGCCGACTGTAGCACGTACGGAAGGGGGAAACCACATCTTGTGGAATTGCAATGGAAAAAAAAATTCAATGTATTGAATATATACCACTAATGAATTTTTAAATGTTAATTAGCGCGTTATCCTAGTGGTAACGTGCTCGACTGGCACGCCGGCGGCGGCCCGGGTTCAATCCCGGCATTATTCATTTTTTTTTTTTTAATAATTCCTATTTTTTTTTTTTTGTTAATGGCAAATCAATCGAAATATCGTTTAAAAACTGAATATTTGAAAATCGAGAAGATATCCAGTGAAATGGAAAAATTAGCAATTTTTTAAAACGATAATTTTGCAATATATATACTCCTAATGAAAATTTATTATTGCAATAATGCGTTATCCTAGCGGTAACGTGCTCGGCTACCACGCCGACGGCCGGGGTTCAAGCCCGCCGTCGTTCACTTTTTTTTTTTT